TGCCTATACATTTGATTTTGTAACATTGTAACATGGATCTTCTTTTTTGCGAAAACTGTAATGAAGAAATAAAATGATCTGGAGGGGAACTGAAGTTAGTTTCGACACTTGACCTTGCAAAGTGGAGCTGTAGTCCTAAACTTTCACTCATGCGCACTTACAGCTAAAAATGCTCTCTCTCTCTCTCGTTTTGTTTTACAGTTGGGGGAAGTGTGTGCAGGGCTGATTAGCATCACTGTTTCCTCCTTTCCCATAACCCCTAGACCCCCGCCAGTCATCTGTTTATTTTAATCCAGAAAAAATGGGCCTTGGCCCGCGAGGACGTGCCCCTCATCAGAGACAGCACTCTGCTCCAAACAGACACACACACACACACACATACATCTATATACAAAGATACAGACTTAGCACACACACACACACACACACTGGAAGGTGCTTCCACACAACGTCATACACACTTCTCAATATCAGCTCTGCAGTTTCTCCTCAATTCAACTGTCCAGTTGTCAAATCACGTACAATGTAAGCCAGCGGTGCCAGAGCTGCATAACACAGCTGCCACTGTGTGTGTGTGTGTGTGTGTGTGAGAGAGAGAGAGAGAGAGAGAGAGATGTGGGAGTTTACGGTGCGATTTTAATGGATGGAGCTGTGAGAACGTGTATTTGTATGTGTGCACATTTGTGTCATTGGACTTTCTGTGTGTAATTTGAGCAATGAAGTCTTGTAAATAAGAGAAGTGGAGAAATGTATAAGTATTTGCATTGCTTTGACTGTTCTCTGTAGATCCTATAAAGTTATATTTTTGGCAACTGAAAAGGCCATTTCATAAAAAAAAGTGAAATTAATAAGCCTCAGGCTGAAGGAAGTGCCTCTGCACCTCACTCCTGATTTCTCTAGACACGTGACAGGAGAGGAGTTAGTAAATAAATGGGAAAACAAAGTAACTTGTGTTACTTATTTGAAAAAGTAACTCCGATATTCTCCTGTAAATTTAAAAGTAATGTGTTACTTTTCTAGTTACTTGAAAAAAAGTAATCTGATTACATAAGTCACTTACTTGTAATGTGTTACCCCCAACACTGGCTATTATTCAAACTACTTCTCAGTCATTACCTTTGAGTATGACAACAATATGAAAACAAATCCAAAGCCCAGGCAATTTAGACAATTTAGAAATCCCGGCCATATAGGAAAAAGAGGATGCATGGTCACCCTATTATAAAACAAACACTTCTGAATAAAACAGAAGAATTCAGTCCAAAGCTATAGTTTGTGAATTTAACATTCCTCATTCTTTTTATATGTTTTTTTTAGTTACATTTTGCATTTTTTAGTTACATTTCTGCTCAGCATACTAGCTCAGCGTAATCATAATTAATTAGTAAAATAGCATTTATGTGCTTTGGTATGTTGTAAAGAATGTTCGGTTTCTTGCACAGACTGACTGTTTCTCTTCATAAGACCTCACTATATTGATTTTGTGTTGTCTGTCTGGCTTCCAATGTCATCTGCTTCCAGCTATTTTTAGCTGTACAAAACAGCGCAAACCGGTGTTTTCTCACCATATTATTTTAATGTATCGTCTTAATTATAAGCACACTAGTTTGTAGTGCAAACAGTTTTACTGCTTACTGCACTTTTATATTCTTCACGTTATTTCCCTACAGTAGCTAATGAATCATAAGTCTCGCACCATCACAGAAAACAGCTTTCTTCTGCGTTGAAAAATAAAGTGGATATGTTTTGTTTTTTTGACTCTTAAAGTGACGGTAGGTGTGAACTTGCATTTTATGAATCATCAAGGACCACGGTTTCAGCTAAAAATACTGTTCTAAAAATGTTCTGTATTGTTCTACTGAAGAAAAAAGTCATCTACATCTTGGATGCACTGAGGGTGAGTAAATTCACAGCAAATGTACATTTTGGGGTTACCAAAAAAAAAAACAAAAAAAAAAACTTAAGATTCAAAGTACACTACAAATGCAGATTCAATAAACGGTTCTTTTTTAAAAGGGCTGATGATGATAAGAGTGTAGTTGGCCTACTCTGCTCAGTTTAAAGCATTTTATCATTGTTAAATCTCTAGACTTCTCTAGAATTGTATGTAGAAAATGCCTCCTTATAGCATAATGGTTGCATGGTTTATCTTTGGAAACACACCGTGTGATAAGCAGCATTCACATCTGGACTGTAGAGAGCTAGAGTCTGCTCTATTTGTTACATGACTGCATGCATACTAAATAGAAAAGTATAGTCTACTAGTGCACGTTCTCTGTGAAATAGAACAGAAAAATAATGACTTCTTGATGGACTTGAGGAGCAACAGTGTGTGACACGTTGCAGAAAACTGACACAAGCTTTCCCTCTCCACATCCCATATGTGTCGAACGCAAAAGCCGTTTACAGCGTGTCTCTGGTTTAACTGCCTGCACCTGTGCCTGCAGCCTACTGATGCAGGACTCCTACAGCTCCGCTGAAGCTGTCTGAAAACATGTGGGCGTTTGCGCGTGTCTGTGTGCGTTATGGTGTGTCGCGCGGCACGTTTCACGGCACACCTGGAAGCCAAAGGCCGGCCTGCTGTTCTAATAGTCGTGGAATAAATTCCACCTTCATTTGCAGCAATGATGCACTGGTTCATTAAACATCATAAGTTTTCGCACGTGATTGGGTAGTATTAAAAAAGGACAGGGGAATAAATGACATCTGGAAAGCCAAATCATGTAGTCAAAAGAATTTTAGTCAGTTTAGTTACATCAGTTACATGTAACTTTCCGAAAGATTTTGCTGTCGTGAAAAGGACGGAAAAACAGACGTAATCCCGAAACGAAAAACAGAGTCTGTCAGCTCTGAGGCAACGCTTAACATCATAAAGTCATGCACCAAATTAGTAATAAGCGTGCATGACCACAGTGCAGCGTGAGCGGGCGGTTCCCATTCGTTCTCTATGGGAGCTAATCAGCAAATTATGTGAGGGATTGTGGGATTGACAGTGGTGCGTAAAGCGAGTGAGAACGTCAAAAAGTTGAGAAATGCTAAACTTCAGGCAAATTATGGGTGCAAATCACAGATATTGGCTGAATTGAATTCAGCTTTTAAATGCGGTTTAGTATGGCAGAGTGTACAACATGTTTTAAAATCTTTTTAAAATTCTGATAAATTGGGAGACTGTTTGTTTCCAGACACTAAATGACATGTTATTTCCAAATGAATTCAAATGTATCAGTTTAAATTTATTTTAAATGCTGTCGCATTAACTTTTTTGACCCGAGTAGAACTTGAGTGCCTCTTTATGTAGTGTCATAATTACTTCTGTTGTCTTTGAAATATAGTTAAAGTTACTGAAGCTTTTGACATGGCAAATGACAAACTGATGGCCAATTTTCATTAAAGATGAAAGTGTCCCAATTTACCTGAAATTGGAATTAACAATTGGAATTAATTCAGGTAGATTGTGGCACTTTTGCCATTGAGATGACTGGGAACAATGTCCCAATTAACTTGAATTCTTCCCAACTTAATATGGAAATAATAACTTCAAAAAAATATGCATGTGTTAACTGAATTCAGTGTTTTCAGACAATAACTGCTTGCTATTTATAATTCAATGGAAATTTATTAGTCTGAGTTTATATTAAATGCAATTAGATGAACCAGTTTTGACCCACTTAAGTAGTACTTCATATGTAATTTCATAATTTATTATGTTGTCTTTGAAATATGCTAAAAGTTACTGCCAAATGTACTGACAAGCCTTTATGGTACACTACAATATACTTTAAAGGTGACATATCATGCAAATCTGACTTTTCCAGGTTTTAAGTGCTATAATCAGGTCCCCGGTGCATCTACCAACCAAGGAAACGTGAAAAAGATTAACCCAGTAACTTTGTTTTGGGAAGCCTTTTTCTGCAAGCGTCTGAGAAAACGAGCGCGTCTGATTTCGCTCCCTTGGTGACGTGGCAAAGGGATCTCATTATAATATTACCGCACCTTAATCTGTACATTTCCACCCACGGCGCCGTCATTGTGTTTTCGCACGCGACAACGGTGTATTAGTTCTAATGCCATGGCGAAAGTTTGAGCATGCTAAACATGCTAACTGTTCTGCCTTTGGCTGCACAGACGAGCACAGAACACTATTTACAGTCCCAGCCTCAGAGGAGACAAG